GGGGGTGGTGATGGTGTTGTTGTTCTTGTTGTTGTTGTTGCTGTTGGAGCGAGCTTAGACTGGGGGTTCCATTTGGACAGTAGGGGACTTTTGCAATACATTAAACTCAAAGCACAACCATTAATATACATGTACATTAATAGACGCGCTGCCAAAATGAGTTACTTCTCGCAATCCAAGAATCACGAGATACAAACTTAAACAATTATCATGTCAGCCGAAAAACTATACAGGGGTAAAAGAAATGTAGAGTTTCAATTGATGCCGTTTTCTTCAAGTACATTTAGGCCCATAACCTATCTTTTATCATTACACGCCTATAAATTGTACAAACTTCATCGATTAATTTGACATAGTCAGCATGTGTACTTCCAAAGAGCTAAAATCCAAGAAGCGACTCATTTTGCCAGCATGCTTCACGATTATTATCTGCGTGATTTAACCCCCAAAAAAGAAAAAAAAGGCCAAAACAAAACAAAAAATACACCCAAAAACCTACAGACTTATGACAACCTTCATTGGTTTGTGTTAAACAAACTGTCGTATTTTTTGTCTATCGTTTCAGAGGATCAATACCGTGAACAACCAAATGATGAACCGAGGAGGTCCTTATATTTCTTCCCTAACCGATATCACTGCGCCATACAATGTTGGTCCTATTTCTTCGTCAAGTGGTATCATTGCACCATACAGGGGAGGTCCTCTGTCTTCTCCAAGTAGTGTCCTTGCACCGTACAAAGGAGGTCCTCTGTGTTCTCCAAGTGGTATCCTTGCGCCGTATAAAGGAGGTCCTATTTCTTCTCCAGGTGGCATCCCACCATCATACAAAAGAGGTCCTATTTCATCTTCAAGTGATATCCCTACGCCATACGACGGCGGCGGTCTTATTCTGGCGCCAAACAAAAGAGGCCTAGTTTCTTCTCCAACGAAGAGCTCTGATAAATTTATTTTTCCCAACACGGAAACGTGCCTGATGACGACACCGACAGTGGGAAAACGACCAAAACCACAAACTGGAAAATATTAGTAAATTATTGGATGAACTTCGGATCAGTTGATCTTTTTTTTTTTCACTCCCCAACGACATCAACTCACCCGTAGCCGACTGTATTACATGTAGGTTAATAAGGGACCGTTCACTAATGACGTCAGCTTAAAAAGGGGAAGG